CCCCCGCCCCGGTGGGATGGGGGAGAGAATCAGAAGGGTAAAGTGAGAAAACTCATGGGTTGAGATAAAGGCAGTTTAAAAGGTAAAGCAAAAGATGCACACAAAAAGCAAAGCAAACCAAGGAATTCAATCCCTGCTTCCCATGGGCAGGCAGGTGTTCAGCCATCTCCAGGAAAGCAGGGCTCCATCACGCGTAGCAGTTACTTGGAAAGACAAAATGCCATCACTCCGAACGTCCCCCTCCCTTCCTTCTTCTTCCCCCAGCTTTATAGGCTGAGCATGATGCCATAAGATATGGAATATCCCTTTGGTCAGTTGGGGTCAGCTGTCCCGGCTGTATCCCCTCCCAACTCCTTGTGCACCCCCAGCCTCCTCACTGGTGGGGTGGGGTGAGGAGCAGAAAGGGCCTTGGCTCTGTGTAAGCACTGCTCAGCAATGATGAAAACATCTCTATATTATAACAAAAACATCTCTATATTATCAACACTGTTTTCAGCACAAATCCAAACCATAGCCCCATACTAGCTACTACAAAGAGAATTAACTCTATCCCAGCCAAAACCAGCACAATAACAAACAACACTTTGAGGCATAATTCTAGTTCCTGATGGTTTTCACATGTGCAAGAGGACTTAAAGCAGGTATTTTAGCATTCCCAACTAATGAGCCTTCAACAAGGGGATTCACTGTACATTTGCTTTAATAAGAGTGAGGAATGAGGCTTTTTGTTGGGGTTTTTTTTTCTGCTGGTGTCTCCATGTTACCACAATGCTATACAATCTGCCTATCCAGAGTTACGACGACTCTGTCAAAATCACTTCCAAACACTCACACAAGCTTGCACTGATCAATCCACTATGCATAAAATTCCTATGGCATGAGGCTAGCAAAAATTAAAACAACATTTCATGGAGACAAAGAGATACTAAAGCAGTGTCAGCAACAGATATCTCTGCTGCTTCTTTGCACCGAGACCCATTTACCCAACTGCATGTGACTGACAGAACAGAAACACTCAAAATCAATGATAGCAAACCATTGGCACGTCTAACCCTGGTGTTGAAAGAGATTTGGGCTGGCACCAATGAAACTAAGTCATACTGCCAAATTTCAAAAGGCACGAGGCTCTATTGTTGCTATTGACACATTCCTCTCTGAGGGGAAAAGAGAGAGAACTACTCTGAACTATAAAAACCTCCATCTATTCAACTCCTCACTCCTTGCTAGTCCGTGGAGATCTTTCATTTCAAGCTCTGGGGGGCAGGCAGTCTTTTCTGCTGGCTGCTGCTGTATAGCACTTAGCATGGTTAGTTCTCAACCAGCACTGGGGCTCTTGGAAAATGTCATTAACCACTGAAGAACAGAAAACAAGGAATAAATTGTTCATTTTTTTGCATTATCCAAACTCCGTGGCATAAAATGGGTTTTGCCAACATAATTCAAACCTCTGTCTGCCTTACAGATTCACACCAACATAGTGTTTCTCTAGCTGAATCTCTGAAAACTCTCAACTGCTGAGAGGTATGCAAATGATTAGCAATTACCTAAATTACACAATTTTCAAGTAGGCACTCTACAGGACACATCTCTCCTCTGAGGATGATCCCAAGGAAACAATCTCCAGTTACATGCTGTTCCCTGCACCAGCTGCTCCAGTTCAATTGGTAATAAGTTACTCTCTCTTCATGCAAGTGTAAACTGACATAGCGAACCAGAGCCTGATTCTGCAATGTGCTGTATTCTGGAATGCTGCTCGAGCCCTGATTTTCACGCCTCCTGAAGGTTTTTAAACTGGAAAATATAACATTGCTAGACTATGACATCCAGGGAAGACTCACCAATTCATATTGAATTCAACAGCAAAATTCCCAATTTAAAAGCAATTCTGATCTCATTATCAAGTCTCCTGTATCACAGAGTGCATCTTGTTCCTTCACTGCAACGACTCTGCTTCAGCTGAATTATTCATGATAATATTGCTGCTCCACTAGCAAAGAAACCACAGTACATTTTGAAAGAGTGGTGCAAGACCACTGTACCTTTTGAGAGAATTAATGTATGTACTTACAAAGAAAGAATGTGCAAATTCACTTAATTAAACCCACAATGTATTCCAGGTGAATTAGAAAAACAAATAAATCTGAGCACAGCTCCTTGCTAAACTCAGTTTGATGTGGTTTTGTAATCCCAAACATGTTATTGAAGTGTTAATAACAGATCACCAGGCTTGTTTTAAAGATGTACCAGGTCAGCAGTTTGCCGAGGCATTCTGTGAAGCATATGTGCACAGCCAGGGTGCACAAGGTTTCCTGAAAGGCATGTGCCACAGGCTCAACCCCCTATCTGGAGGTGGTATACACTATCCAAAGTTTTCAGGCCCACCCAGCTAAAACCTCTCAACCAAACAAAAACCCACAACAAACCAGAATATAGGGCAAGAAGAATCTCATTTCCAACTTTCCTATAACACCAGAGGTCTCCTTGTTGTACCCTATCATGCCCTTGCTCATTTCAGTCCTACTCTTTCTTCTCCTGAAATCTCATTAATGCTTTCCAAAGCTCCTTCTGTTTCCATAAACAGAAGGAACCTAGGTTTATGCGCAGTGACTGCAGGTAGATTCAAGCTAAGCACTGATCCTCGCTATGATAATCATATATGTATGATATATATATAAATAAATAAAGCTCCATATATAAATGGACAATGGAGTTTTACTTCGTGACTACCACAAGCACTCTGACATTCAGCTTTTTCTTGCTTCTCTCATTGTTGCTTTTAGCCTTACCTTGTTGATGATCTCAGTTTTCACAGATATACTTCAGTAACAAGTTTTTATTCTTCAACTGTGTTCTTGATACCAGCTTGTAAATAACTCTGGCTCACTAGTTAAAGGCTTGAAGAAGGACAAAATAGTGATTTCCTACCTTGATCAGTTCTTTGAACTTGGGGTCTTCTTTTGAGTTAGGATCAATCATAGTGCGTTCCTCATTCTCCTCTGTCCAAGTAAAATGGGAAACTTTAGTGAGATCCACTTCAAATGTACACTGCTCAAATACTGCAACAACTCCTAATCATGAAGTGGCCTGTCAGCTGATCAAGACATGGCAGTGCCTAGTCATCATCTTAACAAGGGAATATCCGATGATCAAAGTGTTACTCATTTTTAAGAGACACACAGAAAGATAACACAGACCTAACTTCCCCAAAATAAGATTGTTTCCGCTGGCCTTCCCCAGCTCAGACCCTGCTGTATGCAGAACACCTCAGGAAAATCACCATCCTCTATACCCTGTTAATATCAACATGCCAAAAAGTACAGTCAGCTACTTTTCTTCCTCTCCTCAATTTGCATTTAGTTTCTATTTGAAAACACCTGTCCGAGATTACACCATCTCAAAGAGTACAGCAAGCTTACAGCATTGCAGTCAGTGCAACTTGGGCTGTCAGTCTGTGCCTCCGCTGTCTGGTTCCCTGAAACTTGGCCATGCCGGCGGCCCCGAGTGCACGCACTCCTTCACCTCTGGTTAAGCTGGAGAATGAAAATGACCCCAATTTATGTCAGTTGTACTTGTGCATAGGGGAAGAACATAAAATAGATTTCTTGGGTGTACAGTCTTCTATTTCTGAGAGATGGGGAAATGTGAGAAATACTCTCCAATGGCCAGCAGGACAACCACAAGAGGTGTGAATATAAAGATTAATTTTTAGAAGGGATGATTTGATACAGAAATGTTGGTAACAAAATCAACTTGAGCTCAGTAAGGCTAACAATCAACCTTTGGCAGAATTATCTTTGCAACACCACGTACAGACATGTGCATGTTTATATGCTACTGTAGATATGGATACCAGTATTTAGGAAGCAGCTGGAGCAAGTCTCGTATTTTAAATTCTGGTGCTTATTTTCAAGTAGCAGACCTCTCCCTGCACCCTTCATTTTAGCTCCTTTAGTAGCCAAGTGGTAGCTGTGATCTAGGTTAGATCTGTTCCTTTCAGTAGAGAGCAAACCCTGGCTACTGCACAACAGGAACACAAGGATGGGTGACAGTGTCACAGCTACGTGAGGAGATCCACATTTCTTCAGCTAGAATAATTATTTATAAAGCTGACGGATTTATCTTTAGCTCAGTCTAGACGGGCCACATGGAATCCTGTTTTCCTATTGATTTCTCAATTCCTTCCAGCATGACACCAAAGGAGGGGTTTTGGTATGACCATTGGTCAGGCCATTGCCACACTGCACAGAGGAACCCTTTAAAACCTGACGATGATCAGCCTACGGTGACTTCCTACTGCAGCGCTGGACTTCACTGCTGTCAGATGGGAAACACAACACTCACACATCCTAGACACAAGACAGACTATACCATCTCACTGGTTACCTTAGACTTCACACAGACATTTGGCTTCAGTATTTTCCAGGGCCCTTTATTAAAAAAAAATAAGGCCCTGCTATCTGAATATAGTTGACAAATTTCCACAAACCCACAAAACCCCATGAATTCTTTCGCTGCTTTTTTCCCCCCTGTTCCTTTACTTCCCCATTACTGCCTCGGATGAGTCAGGCAGTCTAGTCATAAGGCAGGGACACCCACTACACACCCAAAATACTGCTAACTGGAACCTTGAACAAGATTTGACCCATAATGGTATATGATTCACCACAAAACTTTCCTTAAGGTTCACTGGTGGTCATGTCTTTGCATGACAGGCCTTCGGAGTGGTCATGCATCTTCTAAAGTCATCTATACCTTTAGTGGTACCCAGAAGAAATCATTGGAGACACTCCTGATCCATACATATAGAGAGAGCAATCAACACTTTGCCCATTTCTCAGAAGAACAGTACTTTGCATTTCCTACTACACTTTTAATCAGAAAATCTAAATGACTAACGCTTCTTTGGTCTTATTTTACTGTTTTATTATTTGTCTCCATGATAGCTTGCTTCAGCTAATTCCGTAGATTAAGAGACAGTTGGCCGGGAAAGAAAAAAGTGTTTTATTCCAACAAGTTTTAAACACTTTTTGCTATTAAATTATGCTGTTGCTCCTGTAGGAACTCAGGAAGGGGGAGGAAATGAGAGAACAGGAATTTGAATGTTTACCTTCTTTCTATAAAGCTTTATTTGTTTTACATACTTCTATCCTAATCACATTTAATTACTATTTTCAGCAGCCTAAATGCTCATCAGTTCATTCAGTATTAGGTCCCATTTTGCTGTACTATCACTTGCAAAGTGGTAGCAGTAACCCAAGGAGGAACATGGCATCCACTAGTTAACAACTGAGTAGTATGTACATTGAGACAAAGGGTTCCACAGGAACCATGACACACACTTTTTTTTTTTGCTACAGGCTTTCTGTGGGTTGGTCCTTTTGCACTTTAGTTCCCCATCTATAAATAGAGAGAGAAGATACCGCTTCCTTACCAAAGAAGGATGTCTGAGATGCACTTGGCCAAAGAGTTAATGGAACTGAAGTTAATCTTAAGCAGACAAATTCAGCAGTATTTTCCATCTAATTCTTTCCAAAAGGACGATCACAGAAGAACTCAAGTTCTCTGTCAATTCATTGAACAAGTCAATTTTCCCATGAACTACCTAGTTCAAGTGTATCTATGTAGTTAGCACTGCTCTTTAAATTCCATTTCAGTCCTTCTAATTTCTAGTCTACGTGTAACGTGCAACAGTTCTCAATTCTCATGCCCAATTCTCTCAGTTTCAACTTAGCAATCGACATTCAACAGTACAGCAATGGATATGGGAGTCACAGTGCCCACCTTCATTAATAATCGCTTAATTGAGGTCTGTAGCATGAATACTTTACCTAATAGTGTGTCTTCTGGATGGATGTCCACAGTGCTTGGGTTCATTGGTGCATTGATAGCATTTTTACCTTCTTCTTGGAGGTCACTCACTGAATAGAGGGAAAAAACAGAAAGGAAGACTGTAATAAACGCAGAGTTTGCAGATATGTAGAGGTTGAAGAGGGTATTCATAGTAAGAGAAAACATCTGGTAGATCCATTTCAAAACAGGCCCACAGTTTATGGAATTAAGAACTGCAGCCGCAGTGGAAAATAAAATCAAAGTAACATCCTTTTACAGCTTCTTATTAAACTGAGCAACCACACAATTGGCTGAAAATATTTTGCAAGAAACCCAATTCTGTGGTAACAGCAACGTCAGAGTGCTTGTTTCTCCAGATGGACGGGGTGTGAGCTTTTCTGCAGGACAGCCCAGATCTACAGCAAACAGCAAACTGCAAAATCAAGCTCCTTTTCTGATAGCACAACCACCACTCATCACCACCTTTTCCAGCTTCAGAACACCAGGAACTGTAACTTGCTACTGGCCTTATTAAAAGCCTCAGAGAATCCCAGGGAGACCTACCAAGTAAAGATGAAAATGTATTTAATTCTAGCATTGCTGCTGGCTGAAAATAGATATAGCGTGATCTGGTGAACACAAATCTGGAATTTGTGATTTCAAACTTTTGTCCTAAACCTACATTTCATTTGGGAAAGTCAGTAAAGTACCCTTCATCAATAAAATGGATATTAAAATACTTCCTTACACCCTGCCACATGGGAGGAACTGAACTTGAGGACAAGTACTGAGTAGTTCTTCAGTATCTTCACAGACCTTGACAGTAAGAAAAGCACTCGCAATGCTATAACACTTTTACACTCTCCAAGGCACATCTCCTTCTAAACTCAGTAACGATTACTTATTATAAGCCAAGCTATTGATATACAGGCATTTGAAATAGGAGATACAAAGACACCGTAACAGCCCCATCTATTCAGTGACAGTTCTGTGTTAGCGTGGGCTAAGATCATTTGTGGCAGCTTTTGTGGTATTGCAGTCTCCTTTGGGAGAGGTCCAAGTCCCACACTCTTTTCAGGGAAAAGCAAGGACTTCCAAATAAATAAGCTCTGCAAGACAGAGGGGAAAGAAAAGGAGGAACATTCAACTAATAGTCACAGTATCCTAACAAGCACTTCCTTCAAGAACAGTTGCTATTCCCCTTTCCCATTGGAAAAAATCAAACCACAGGCTAATCATTTACATGCAGTCTGCAAAGGTTACAAAATGCTGCATCAGTACTTGCTTTTCTCCTACTTGATAGGAGGGGAAATCACAGAGATCCTATTGCCCCAGAGGAGGACAGGGAAGAATAATATATGACAATCCCCACTCCTCCTCTCAGGGATACTTGACATAGGTGCTTAAAACATGTTACCACATTTCTGAATTGCAGTTCCAAGAAGTTAGTTAATTCTGGCTCACAGTATGATACTGAACACGACTAAAATCCTCAATTATGAAATGCTGTTCTTATGTTCTGCAAGCAACAAACACCAGTCTCGTATTCTGAGACCTTATGGCTTACGAACCACATTAGAGCAGCTGGTTAGAGCTAACACGGCACAAAGCCTGGGGCAAGGGGGATGCCAGCAGTAAGCCCAGCTTGCTTTCTGTATTGCGCACCTTCTGCAAAGGGAAGAGAACAGCACTCTCGGCTGCAAACAGAATACAATGTCTGCAGGCTGAGATTTATCCTCCTGAATAAACGTCGTTATCAAAGAAACTCTTAAATTACCCCTTTTCTGGATTCATTCTCATTTTCTTGGAAAACTCTCCAAACAGAAGTCAAGGAGCTAAGAGGCCTCATGCAACAGACCAAAACAGCTCTAACAGCATGCCTTAGCCAGCCCTGCTTGCATTACGCCCAACTCCAGCTTTCTCACCTGAGCAGCTCCTACACTGTGATGCCAGTAGGAATATAGCCACCAGGAGGCACAAGAAAAATCATGTGGAAACTGGACATTACGAGTAAGATTTTTAAAAACCCTGCTAGGACTATAAACACCCAAATTCCACTTAAATCAGACTCATTTTGGAAGTACCGGCCTTATCTCTAGATGTAACTCTCTTTTCATTATTATAGCATTGCTGTCATTCTGGGAATGCCAAGCGTTCAATAAGGTCAGGACATCTCTGTTCCTAATACTCTGCAAATGCAGAGGAGAGCTGCTAAGTTCCTCTGGGCAGTGAATATATGGTATTGTCTTCAGTGGATGCTATATAAACAAAACGCTGCCTACATTTCAAACCAGAAAAACTTCTAAATGCAGCTAAACTAGTTTTATTCCCAAAAGTTCAATTAAGATGATACACTTGCTTTATTTTTTACATAAAAATGATCTCCATTCTTCCTAGCAAAAATACCTTGTTTCTGAGCAATTTACTAAACTGAAAGAAAACATTAATACGAATTTTTGTATTAAGCCTCCATCCCTCACAACATGAAGAGCCACATAAAACCCTTACGCTTGCCTTCAGATCCGGTGCGGCTGGGCCAGATCCCACAGGACCAAAACATCCTTTCCTACTGCTACCAGCAAAGCACGGCTATGTCAGCAGAAAGCCTCCCAAAGCCTGCTGCCCAGGGAGATCCCTGATTACAGAGAGCCCGTACAGCAGGTCCTAGGCAGACAGCTTAGGACAAGATTCTGCCTAAAAACATAATATTTCCTACCTCCTTTTTTGCGCCTCTTACAGAGGAGCCCTGCCATCCCGGCCCCAGCAGCACAAACAGGTCGGAGACGAACCACATGGGCCGTCCGAATGCTGAAGGAGCAGCAGCAACTGGATAAGGGGCTGCCACCTCGAGACTGCCAAACCTACGTTAATTTGGGCATGGTGACACAGGAGGAGGCGCTAAGATAGCCTCCCAGCTGCTG